TTGTGTTGTGTTGTGTTGTGTCGTGTCGTGTTGTGTAGTGTTGTATGAACGATGTTTTCGTAACCATGTGTGTTTGGTCCAAAGCAATGCAGCGGAAAGGGAATATCAGCAAACACATCTAATCTCAAGAGAGTGATTGTATGCATGCGGGGTTTGTCTTGTCTTTCTCTTCTAGTCACCGTTGTGGTGAAGTGAACATTGCGTGGTGGTTGGTTGGAATGCGATATCCTTGGCATGAGCGCATTAGTTTACACAAAACGACATTGTGTCCCTGCCGGGTCGGTTGTGAAGACTGTTGATCTCATGCAGGTGATGGTGTGTACTATGTATGTTAGTACTATTCATCTCATGCAGGTGATGGTGTGTAATATGTATGTTAGTACTATTCATCTCATGCAGGTGATGGTGTGTACTATGTATGTTAGTACTATTCATCTCATGCAGGTGATGGTGTGTACTATGTATGTTAGTACTATTCACCACACATTCACGTCTGTATCATTTGCATTGAACACACCATACATTCATTAAAACAGTGGCAGGCTGTAAAACTATGCGTACTTGGTGAAAAGGACACATGCTCATGTCGCATGGTTCGCCCATACAATGCAGCACATACAACAGGTTGCATACAACTAGCACTGTGGGCATACGTATAAGTATCACTAACGATACTTTGTCCAGTGGCCACTGATCTGTACAATAGTTCAATACGTAAACATATGGCGTACGTACTACCCCTCGAACCAATCCATCCCCATCACATGTCCTTAAAGCCTTGCTATCAACCATCCAAACTACCATTCAAACGCGTTCAAAACAACTGAACAACCCGTTACCAACAGCGCACAGACCTTTCCCTCATATCCATTGGGCCGTCTATAGCGGTGGCTGTGTATAACACTCCCCGTGTAGTGTGACTTCAGTTGCTGGCCTAGACTCCCTGTGGGCAGCCGCGGCTGTGAGTAGTGCCCATTCGCACTGACAATGGCGTCGAAGCGTTCTACGCGCTCCTCGATAACTCCATCTACATTGGTGAGGAGATGCACACTCCACTGTCTGTCGCAGTAGTATAGTTTGTGTATTTCTGCGTCTTTGCATGCAACACTACTTCCCATGTACTCCGCGCGGGTCACGGTGGTGTTGAACTGGATATGCGCAGCCAAACCACATACATCGCAGTAGTCCTGTAAGTAGTCTCTGACCACAGTGCGATGGGGATACCGCTCAGTGTGATCATCTCCCATTGTGAAACCAGGTATGTTCATCAGGTCTTTGGGCAGATTCGTGTGTAATGCATCATACATGGACGAATGCTGATTTACATCCAGTCCTCGGTTACCGTAACCCGTTGAACTATAACTTGTACTTGTACCTCCATCCTGGTCACGCAATACCCATGTGCCACCAACACACTCCGCTGCTTCATACACCACGACCTCTAGACCTTGGTCAATCAATTCCTTGCATGAGATCAATCCCCCCGCACCGGCACCAATAATACACACTCGCCGTCTGCGCTCAGCAATGCTGATACGTGTCTCGTTGACAGTCATGATCACTTGATATGTATATTTGTATATAGAAATATATATATTTATATATCTACGTGTGTGTATTGATGCAGCGTAGTCGTATCTTCATCGACGTAAATATAAGCCAGCACAGTCATGTACAGACTTTCCATATTGCAACGCAAGATAGATGTGATATCTGATGATTCATAGCCTCTCGTGAAATAATTCGAGAGCGCAAAACCCCAAACCCTAAACCCTGCGCATGGTGTTCCGTCGGTATCCCTATAACATGATCTTCCGGAAGTTCAATATATACGAATGAAAAAAACCATAGCCTCCTACATTGAACAAACAGACTAATACAACTACGCAACTGTGCTGAGACATATCAGCAGAGGTCATCTATCAGTGTAGTTGTGCGAGAGAGTCAGCTGCACGCATGCTCGGCGATACAATACAGCAGTAGTATGAGTGCTATGCGACTCCGGTAGTTGTTCAGTGGAGTCGGTGCTATCATACGTTCCCTATTCGCCTTTATCGAGGGAAATTGCTAGAATTACACGCAACGGAGATTAGATTGTTAGTTGCTATGACGAACATGGCCTGTGCAATAACTGGCGCTGTCGTGCGCGTTCACATGTGTTGTGCTATGCACAAGAATTGCATTGCGGCAAATACATACGCCATCGCTACATATAGCCCGTCCCTCGGCACATTCAGAAGAGATGCGTCAAGCAGATGTATGCAGGGGTACGTGAACATATCCAGGCGGAGTGTTGTTAACAGCTCTGAAACTGATGACAGGGGACTTTCAGGTAGACTGCCGCTTTATAACTGTGCAATGCCAGAGGGTGCACGCTTGCAGCCACACAAGATGAGCAGGAGAACACGCTTCTACACCACATCGAGTGCGGGCGAAATGGAGGACAGAATACATGCACCACACATGAGTGAATCGAATGGTGGAGATGCTCGCAGTAGTAACAGGCACAACAGCAAGAAGGCTGCCGTGAAACGGTCGTCTACTGCAATGGATGGAATGGTCAGGTGGATGGCTCAGCGCGAGATTACGCCAAAGGACTTGCTGGAACCAGTAGAGAGAGTGGGTGCTTTACACAGGGACGGGCAGGCATCTACACCACACATAGGTATAGGTGGAGATAATGAGGCAGATACTATAACCACGGATCCTGGTTATAGTGGGGGCGCACAGCCTTCTAAAGACAGGCCGGTTAGACGACAGGAAGCTGCAATGTCTCAAAGCAACGGTGTGCAGGGTGGTGATGGATCGCACGGGGAAAAAGCAACCAACCGTGCCTTAGAGGGTGACAGTGAGGAACATCAGGCGCATGCAACGGATATGAATATGACAGACGCACACAGGGATGGCAGAGATGTACACGAAAGCACACAAGAGACATCTGGCATGGCAATTGCACGCGAGGCGTATGCGGGTCGTGTAGCGGCTGAGGCAACTGCTGCAACGCACAGCGAATTAGACGTAGATGCATACGAAGGGGGCTCTGACCGTACACATACATCACCACACACACACACAGTACCACACACACACACAGTACCACACACACACAAAGCACCACACACACAGAGAGTACCACACACACACACTGCATCACACTCACACACAGTACCCCACACACACACAGCACCACACACACAGAGGGTACCACACACACACACTGCATCACACTCACACACAGTACCCCACACACAGTCCTCAGCCACGAAAGAGGCTGTGGTCGACGCGTACGTGCACGAGCACTTACGTGTGGCCGCCAGCTCACACAACTGGTTCCTGATGCTGCAGATACTGAGCGATCTCAAGGACAACCCCGACTGCCAGGGGGTGGATACAGAGGCCATGTACACGGTCGTGGATGCAGTGAAGTACATGCCCCTAACCGACGCCGTGAATGTTTCTCGCAAGCTATTCCAGGTGTGCAACACGCATATCAAACACTTCCGGCGCCTGCCCGACTCGCTGACCAAGCTAGAGGACTTGATGGAGACCTTCACGCAGATAGACATGGTGTATTGGGCTGAGCAGGCCTTTATATGGGCCACCGACAGACCCGCCACCAAGTTCATCGATGAGCCTCGGCAGCGCACGTACAACCTGCTGCTGGAGTGTATCTCCAAGCGCAAGTCGCCGCTGCGCGTGTTTGATGTGGTCAATGAGATGAAGCTCCGAGGCATCCCGTACAACTTAGACACGGTCACGTATGTGTTCAAGGATTGCTACAAGCGGCGCCGGGGGGACCATGCTCTCACCTTCTTCAACCTCGAGCATGTGCGAGAACGTGCCACAGCCGATGTGTACACGCTATGCATGGAAGCGCTTGTGCACGGCCGCAGGCTTAACCCGGAGCACGACGACGCAGTACAGGCGTATAGTATGCTCAACGAGATGACTAACCGAGCTTTCATAGAACGGCGCAAAGACCTGCGGCCCACTCTGGCCACGTACAAGGTCGTGTACAACGTCGCTGATCTGAAGGGGCAGAATGTGCTGTACAAACGCCTCAAGGCCGACAAGATCACCTGCGACTACGAATTCATCTGCCAGCGCATGGACACTCTGCTGGACCCACAGTACCCCGAAGTGCGCTCCGAGCGTACCGCTATGGATGTCATCGACACATTCCGGGACGCGCAGAATAGGCACGGACTGTTTACCGACCCGCGAGACGGCCGTGAAGACCTGGGCAGCGAACACTGGGCCATGTACGAACACGGGCACTACAAACTAGTGCAGGCGCTGAGCTACCTGTACATGTACCACGAGGCCACCAACGTCTATGCGTCGCTGGTGAAGCAGAACATACCCCTGCGTAGTCAGACGGTGTCTGCGTGCCTGTACGCCCACGCGCACGCCAGGAAATGGAACAGTTTAGGCCCTATACTGACGCGGTTCTGGGACCAGAACGAGATTGCCGGGCCGCACCTGACCCGAAGTCTTCCGGACGTCTGCATGATGATGGCGCAGGAGCGCGGCAAGGACGAGACCTTTGCGCTGTGGATCCACCACCAGGACATGCTCAACGAGTGCATCGACCCCACGTGGATCTCACGCGTGCAGGTGGCCACCATAGACGCCATGATGACCGAGTTCAAGCCCATCAACACCTCACACGGCCCACGTCACGCCACGCGAGCGCTACAGGCACATCCAGACGCTGTGGGGGCGCACGCGGACGACGATGTGGCGGAAGTGACGTACGAAGAGTCCGCGCGACAACGGCGCACAGCCAGCGCAGAGGCCATACGCCACGCCAAGCGCATGCGACAGCCAGGCATACGCTGGCACACGTACAAGAAGGAACGCCGACGCCTCAACGTGCAAGTGCTGCACGACAAACGCATCGCGGACAGGCAGGCGCTGAAGGCCGAGTGGGGGGTGGTGGATACAGTGGATGTGGATGGGTATGAGCGACCGGAGATGCGCAAGAGACTCACGGGAGACGACAAGCGCGCGGCGACTACCAGGCATGTGCCCAAGTGGAAGGCACCCGGTAAGGGAACGGGGCGTTCCGTGGCCGCCAAGGGGTCTATTGGGGGCCAACCTCCCCCTGTGGTGTTGTAGGTGTACATGGTTTGTACATTAATGGGTTGATAAGCTGCGTGGAGAGTGAGAGAGTGTGCTTCTCTGAGCTTCTCGTTGCAGTATCGCGAAGGTGTGCGTAAGCAAGCGGCCTTGGATCCATTATCCATCGCCTTGTACGTGCATACGACAAGTTGTCGTACGCTCACCACATTGTCCATTACATGGTACAATCATACAAGTTGTCGTACGCACACCAGATGGTATACACATACCCCTCCATACGAAGTGTGTCTACACTCCGGGCGGATCATATCTTGACCTGTGTCGGCAATATGCGTCGAAAGACGTCTTGGGACAACAAACCTCTAAACCCTAAACTCTAAAATCATAAAACCTTGAAACCCTAAAACTCTAAAAGTCTAAACCACTATAATGCTAAAACTCTAAAGCACTAAAACCCTTTATGCGTTGTTATAGGCCATTTGCAAGGACCACAATACCTTAGGGAAGTAATAGCTTTGAAAAGTGAACTCAATCAGCTACAGACTACCATGCTGACTGATAAGGAATGCGATACATCTCAATAAATTTCATGCGGTGATGTTTGTGACGCTTGGGATCCTTTCGTGTGGCATAGGACTGACAATAAACACGCAAAGGTACGTGAACTGCTGTCTGTCTATATTACTGTATATATATATAAATATATAGCATCAGCCAACATATCTTATGAGTCAACTGTTTTCTTTCTAAATCACTTGTGTATATAAATAGCAACAGCCGACATATCTTATGAGTCAACTGTTTTCTTTCTTAATCACTTGTGTATATAAATAGCAACAGCCGAGATAACTTATGAGTCAACTATTGTCTGTCTAAATCACTTGTGTATATAGATAGCAACAGCCGACATATCTTATGAGTCAACTGTTGTCTGTCTAAATCACTTGTGTATATAGATAGCAACAGCCGACATATCATATGAGTCAACTGTTGTCTGTCTATATCATTTGAATCAATGAATAGCAACAGCCGACATATCATATGAGTCAACTGTTGTCTGTCTATATCATTTGTATCAATGAATAGCAACAGCCGACATATCATATGAGTCAACTATTGTCTGTCTAAATCACTTGTGTATATAGATAGCAACAGCCGACATATCATATGAGTCAACTGTTGTCTGTCTATATCATTGGAATCAATGAATAGCAACAGCCGACATATCATATGAGTCAACTGATGTATGTTTCATGAGTGCAATACCCTGTGAATGTATGATTGCTGCACCACATGGTACTAAATTACTGACTTCATTCTAGTGTATATATGATACCCTATGTGTTTAAAGTGTATGCGTGATGCATGGTTGTAGTGATGGCCGTTTGTCCAGCACTATTTATATTGCGCTGTGTAGAAATGCTCACAGTGATGGGTCTTCGCTCGGGCCACCTCAGGGGTTGGCGCTTATCTGCCAATCAGATGACTTGGAGATAAGCCCTAAAGTACACTTTTCTAGGACAGGTGCAGGTACGTGTACCTTGCTGGCTTTAAAGGCCAATTATCGTCATATGATTAATAAATCGGTGTGTGCATATGGTCTTAGATTGATTTCGAATGTAGCACCCCTTTAGCGTGTATGGTTGGGGGGTTGATGTATAACGGTGTACGTGTGTGTTGTGTTGTCGGTTATATCATGTGTGTTGGTCGAATGCGTTGCCGTTTCTGTTGTTTCGGATGAACGAACCACGAAGTGGAGATGCTGTGTATTGTGACTACCCTAATAATTGTATACAATGTACTGCGACTACCCTAATCATTGTATACAATTGTATTAGTTGAAAGCATCACTTAGAATGGCAGTCGATTATAGTGTCCATTTTAGAGAGTACTGCTGTAGATTGTGGGACGGGTATATATATCTGGCTTTCACAGAAATAAGATTGCGCAGGTGGATATATAGGTATACACCAATGTATGTATTCCATTCACACACAAATGACTACCAAGAAGGTGTTACGAATGGAACATATGCGTTGTGGATATCCACGCTAGCTTTGCTCTGCTACGGATAGATCTGTGTTGCTTTGTCGCATAAATACCTACCCCACCTGAGATCAGGTGCATCTTCACACCTAATTAAGGTGTTTGGTCATGCATTTACACATGCATGCAGGACAGATCCGCATTTTTCTAGTTCAATCTGATATGTATAGACTAACTTTAATCGTCGGCTATGAATGCAGATTTGGGCTGGTTTCCTTTTACCTCAATATTTCCGGCTGTAAAGTGTTTATGGCCAAACTGTACTACATACAACTCGATAGGCATCACGTGCACAGATGTATTGTTTGATAAGTTTTGTACACAAATACGTTTGTTTGTCTGTGAACTGCATCTGTAATGGAACATTCATGTGCAGAGACTCCAGTGTATATGATCACCTGCATGTGTCCTTACTTACTGTCCGTATGGGCTATATGTCTTGTCTGTCTTCTCCATATTATCATGTATATGAACAACCAGCTTATATGCATCGAACCTAACATTGCGGGCCACATAGGGTTTTGGGGTTTAGGACAGGATCAAATATTGAATGGCTCCTACACCGCCATCATAGGTGTGTTAATCATCCTATATTATCTGTATTTGTTGCCGGCGGGTGTATTTTGTGATATATATATATATATAAATATATATATATATATATATATATATAATAATAATATATATAGTATACTATATATAGTATATATATATATATATATAT